TGTGTGTGTGTGTGTGTGTGTGTGTGTGTGTGTGTGTGTATGCCTCTCCTGCTCTGGGGAGTGTATATTCTCAGCATATCCACACGTCTGGCTGCATTAGGACATATCTGTGACTCTGTGAAGGTTTGTCCCAATGTACTTCTGTATCTTGGCATATCTGAGTGTTTGCTACATGGATGACCCTCTGAATAGAGTTTAGGACAGACAGCAAGCTGGTTGGGAGACAAGATTGCAAGATCTTATGAATATCTGCTTCATTTTGCTCCTTTAGATAAATCCTTCCCACTCCCATGCCTAGGTCCCAGGTAAGGGCTTTGCAACAACTGGAATAATTCAACATCCAAAGAACCAAGTCCTGTTCCAGGAGCTCCAAGGGGAGCCAATATAAACCTAGCCAATATATCTTCCCATCATCCAAAGTAGTAAGGAGTTGGGATGGGGGAAGGGGTTGAAATTATGCCCTACTATTTATTTGCTAAGTGAATGGCACAGTCATCTAACTTTTAGACCAGAAAAGGTAGTCCAATAGGTAGGGAACTTCCCTAAAATGTTCCTTCTTCCTAAAATTCTTCCACTCCTGTCTCTCCTGTGAATAATTTTCAGCTGGCCTGACTCAAATGCCACCTCCTTGGCAGAATTTTCTGAGATTGGTAGGAGAATTAGGAAAAAGCTCTCTGTAAGGCTGAAGGTCAGATGGGAAATATAATCAAATATTTCTTCTTAGATTAATCATCCTCAAACTGAACATCAGAGTAGAAAAGCATCAGTTAAATCTCAGGAAATGAAGGCTGAGTTCCAAGTGATAGTTAAAAGAGTGAAAAGAGAGAAGCAGTTATGTGGGTTGTCAAAGTCCAGAAAAGGAATAGAGCCAGGGTTGAAATTAGGATAGGGAAGGAGAAGTATTCCAGGGAGGGAAACTCACTTAGGGAAGGCATGTGAAAAAGGTTTAAGAGGCAGGGCAGTGAGAAGGCTGACCTGCTTGGGGTTGGGCAAAAGGAAGCCTGTGGAAGCCATTGGAGGTAAGACTGGAGGACGGTGGGAATCTTGTCGGAGAGCTCAAAGATCTGGGAAGTATGGATTACATTCACTGGGAGTGGAGAAACTAGCCAGGCAGAAAATCTTGGCAGGAAAAGCATGGCCCGAGAACTCCCAGAGTACTTATAGCTCTTTTCCCTCTCTTAAGCTATTGTCCTGGGTTACATGAAGCTTACAGAATTCTCTGGACTGGGATGGGTGGCAATGCATCTTCCCTCAAGAGTGCAGACGTCTTTTCCAGGAGAGAGGAGTGAGAGCAGCCCAGAGACTGCAGACATTGTTGAGGTATGGCATGCTGCCTTGCAGGTGAGAGAACCTAACATTCCTCTGCCTTTTTTCTTGTGTCCCATCTTCCTCCCATCCCATCTCTCTTCTTTCTGCACAGCATTGGGAAGGAAGATTTGACTTTTCATCTCTATTTTCCCCTTCCAAAATAACTATCTTTCTATGCCTTCAAATTCTCTTTTCTCTACAAGCAATGACCTTCCCACACTGAAGTTTCTGCTGATGTCCCTCTCATTCTTCCAAACCCTGCTAAAATCTCACCTATCCTTTGGAATATTCTGCAAATGAGGCAGAGGAAATTTCTCTCTACTTATACAGTTCGTGTAATGCATATTCTGGTGTGCATGGCTGAAGGTCAAGGAGAATGGCTGACTCACCCGTGTAGCAGCAGCGCCCAATGTAATGCCTGCCCCTGACCAAACACTCAACAAATGGTAGAAATTTAAGGTTGAGCCATTCTGCTGCTCCAGGGAAATCCACGTAGCACACTGCTAGCTAGATGAGGAAATGGACATTAAATGAATGTGGGTCTATGCTTGCACAGCCAATTAGGATTAAAGCCCTGGCAGCTCTGACTTCAGAGCTGACGCTCTTTCTCCTGCGTCACACTGATGCTAAGGAGAGATTGGGAAATGAAGGCCAGGGGCTCACAAAGGAGAACCCTGCCCTGTAGAGAAAGGCAAGTTGGAGGAGTCCCACAGTACCAGACCTTCCGTGCCACTATTCTACAATGGGGCAAGATGTGGGGTTTTCAAGAGCCAAAGCAGATGATTTCCCTGGGACAGGTAATGGCTGACGACTATAGAGAATCAGAAAAATGAGAACAGGATCCCTGTGGGGCTTGTCCTGGTGTTGTCACAAGATGTTGCCCACCTCCTCTCTCCTTTATCCTCCTATGTGTCTGTTTTTACTATTGCTCTTCACTCAAAAAAAAAATTTTTTTTTGGATAAATTTTATGTATAGGTCCCTGGGCAAGACAGTGAAAGGCAGCTCCTTCCTGTTTTGCTAAGAGTTAACTTAGTCCATTCTCTGGGACCTCACCAAAGCCAGAAGTCACATAGCACCAGATCTGGTGAATGGGTGGGTAAGGACACATCATAATGTTTATGTGAGCCTACTTTTCCTTTGGGTGGCACTTGGCAGCAGTGTTCCTCATATATATATATATATATATATATATATATATATATTTTTTTTTTTTTTTTTCTTTTTTAAATCACAGCTCATGAATGAGAACTCCCACAACTGTTTCAGTAAGGGTGAGAATGATAAATGTGCTCCAAGTAAGAGGGAGTATCTTGAGGGGGTTAATGACCCTCTTACTATAATAAATTCTCTTATTTAAACACACTGTATGATGAGCACCTCTTGTATATATAAAACTATATGTGAAACCTGTAGTACAGGGAGGCTTGCCTGGAGTTCCAGAACTTACTTTCTGCTGCTTCTTCCCCAGCGTTCCCAGTCACCCAGGTGCTCCATGACCCTGACTAACCTCACAGGGGGCCCCCAATTCCTGCTACTTGGCCTAATGGACGGCACAGATGACCACCCGCTGTTGTTCCTGCTCTTCTTCAGTGTCTACCTGCTTAATGCCCTGGGAAACCTGAGCATGGTGGTGCTGGTGAGGTCCGACAGGGCTCTGTGCTCCCCCATGTACTATTTCTTGGGTCACCTGAGCCTCGTGGATATCTGCTTTACCACTGTTACGGTCCCCCTCCTGCTGGCCAGCCTGCTGCGCCCCGGCCAGGCCGTGTCCTTCCAGGCATGCTTTGCCCAGATGTACTTCTTTGTGGCGCTGGGCATCACCGAGAGCTACCTGCTGGCAGCTATGTCCTACGACCGCGCGGTGGCCGTGTGCCGCCCCCTGCGCTACAGCGCAGTCATGACCCCCTGGTGCTGTGCCGCGCTGGTGGCGGCCTCCTGGGCGGTGGCTCACCTGCACTCGCTGCTGCACACGCTGCTCATCTCCGCGCTCTCCTACCCGAGCTCAGCCCTTGTGCACCACTTTTTTTGTGACATGACGGTGATGCTGAGCTTGGCGACTTCGGACAAGTTTGCCGCGGAGACTGCCATTTTCTCTGAGGGCCTCGCGGTGGTGCTGGCCCCGCTGCTCCTCGTGTCCTTGTCCTACGCGCGCATCCTGGTCGCGGTACTCCAAGTGCGGTCCGCGGGGGGCCGGCGCCGGGCCTTCTCCACCTGCGGCGCCCACCTGGTGGTGGTGTTGCTTTTCTTTGGCTCTGTCCTCTCTGTCTATTTCCGACCCTCCTCTGCCTATTCTGCGCGCTACGACCGACTGGCCAGTGTGGTCTATGCTGTAGTCACACCGACCTTGAACCCTTTCATCTACAGTCTTCGCAACAAGGAGGTTAAAGGTGCTCTAAAGAGGGGGCTTGTGTGGAGAGCTGCACTCCAAGTGTAAGGGGCAGGTTGGATACCGTTAGCATTTCAATAACAACAATCCCAACCTCCCTTCCCTCCCCCCCTTTTCTTTTGTAGTTTTCCAAACTCTACTTTTTGATCTCTGGCCTCTTATGTCTTGTTCAATAAAAAACAAAAATTAGAGGAAAAGCAAATAGGAGGGCACATTTATTATAGTGGTGGGTACTAGGCAGAAAGGTAAGTTCCTTTCTGTATTGCCTGAATGCTTGTAAAAGGAATCTATTTCTAAATTTGGGGAAAATAAAAAGGAAACAAAGATAAGAAAAGGTAAGGAAGGTAAGGAAAAGGAAGAGAAGGAAGGAAATGTGTGGCCAGCGGTAAGGGAGGCTGGGAGCCGGTGGAGCAGCGGAGGCCAGAGCAGGACTTCAGGGAGGTGTGTTGGTGACATCGCCTACTGGCCTGCAGACCCCTTCCTGGCAAACTTCAGAAAGATCCAGTTATTTTAAAAAAAAATTTTACATTCTGTCCTTCAGATACTATATCCATTATTTTCATCATGAATAGTCAAGAAGAAGGATACAGATAAAATCCCCATTATCCACCCACATCAACCTTCACTGCTGTCAGAGTTGTCAGTTAAATCCCTCCTCTCCCTTTATAACATAGTAGCAGTCTATATACATTATTCTGCCACTTTCTTTCCTTTTTTTTCATCAAACAAGACATCTAAGAGACCCTGTTTTCTTTCTACAAATAGAATGTTCACATTCTTAAGTTCCAGCTATATAATTCTAAAGGATCGAACTCAGGACCTTGTGTTTACCAGTGTTTGTAACTCTTCCAAGGATTACTTAATTTCCTGATTGATAATTTTTAATGAATATTTAATTTTTTTTATTTTTACTCATAATTAAAATACTAAAGCTATCATTAAGTGAGGAATCATTTGTGGCAAGCCCTGTCCTAAGTGTTCCACCGATACATCTTGAACAAAGGCTCCCACAAGGAAGACAGCATTATGTCCACTGTGTGAGCATGAAGCCAGGCGGGGAGAAACTGAGGAGCTGTCCCCAAATCTAAGAAGCCTATTTTCAACAGCTATTTAATCTTATTTGTTTTATTGAGCATCTTTTAGTAATGTGTAAGTTTCTAGAACATACTTATATCAATTGTTTTCTGAATTTTAATATTATTTTTAATTCCTGCTGCTCCTTTTCCCTTTTAATTTTTAAAATTCATTAGCAGATATTAATGGTACATGTTAATGGGGTTCAATATGATATTTCAGTACACTCTTACAGCATGCACTGAGAAAAACCAGCTTTTCTTTATCCATCCTCTCTTCTTCAGAGATTTTATTTATTTATTTATTTATTTATTTTTGGGTAGTACCAAGGATCAAACTCAGGACCTTGTGTTTGCCAGGCAGGTACTTATGCCATTGAGCTATGTCCTCAGCCCCTTCTTCACAGATTTAATTTTTGATGTTCCTCTTTTGGTGTTCATTTAACTTTTTTTATTCTGAGTTTTTTATTTATGCTTTTTCTTTGTTTCATCTCATTTTGCGTGCCAAAGTGGTATCACTTATAATAATATTTCCTAAAAAACTATCTTAGTTGATGTTAATTCTTTTTTTTTTTTTTTTTTGAACCAGGGATTGAACTCAGGCCCTTGCGCTTGCCAAGCAAGCACTTATTCTACTAAGCCTCCTCCCTGGCCCCCTGTTGATGTTAATTCTATTGTTTCTTGGTTTTCAAGTTCATTGATTTTCTTTCACTTTCATAATTACTGATTGCTACTTCTTGTCTTTATGTGGACTTTTGTGGCAGTTTGATTCTGAGACATATATATCATTCTGACTTCAGAAGAAAGGTATCAGCTGATGCCTCCTATTGGATATTTAATATTTCTTCTGTTATCATAAACAATCTATGCATGAACATTTCAGGAGGGAGCTGATGGCCTTCTTGGGCCTCATTGTTATGCTGATACTCTTAGATTCAGCCATGTCTTCCACCTGGTTCTGAGTTGTGGTATTTACTGTTGCCTCAGGGCCCCTTTTTTATGACAGCTTCTGGGACCAATGCAACCATGATGTGGCTTCATCATGCAGTGGCCAGATCTTCTGAAAAGATTCCTCAACTCAGAGAACCACCCAACACACAATGTGAACTCACTATATTTTTTTAGTACCCAAAGTTATCTAGAGAATTCTATCAGTCCTTCACTGTGGAATTGGAGGACAAAGAACAGGGACCCACACACACATCTAAACACTTATTTTATAATTATTCCTGAAATGGTGTTCAGTGTAGTTACAAAAGAGAAAGAAATTATATAACTAAGTACTGAAAAGGAATATGGACAGTTATCAATATTTATTTTAGCTTCCACTGTGTACTTCCAATACCTAAGATATTTAATGGAAAATCATTCTTAGAAACCGTAAGAGAATTTAGTAATGTGGATTTTCATGAAACTGTCATACAAAGCAATGAATGACTTTTCAATATACAAAAATTTATCTGTCAAAACTACAGTGAAAGGACTGGCCAAATAGCTCAGTGGATTAAAGCACCTACTTAGGCAGGCTCAGGGACTGGGGTTCTATCCCCCATGTGCTGTGTCAGCCCCATGCCCAGGATGATCAGAGGTGGCAACTGAGACTGAGCATGGTGGTGCGCACCTGTAATCCCAGTACTTGGGAGGCTGAAAACAATCACTATGAGTCCTACCTCTGTAGGGAAATCCTGTACCAAGTAAATAAATAAATAACAAAAAACAAAAGAAAGCTACAGTAATCCTCTCCACAAATGTAAAGTACCTAAGAGTAAAAGTAGACAGTAATGTACAAGTACCAAATTAATAGAATTCAACAAAAATTTGAATAAACGGAAAGATAGTCTTTATATTTTATTAGAAGATTGTAGAAATAGTGAACTCTCCTTAATAAATCTATACTTTCATGCAATTACAATATATAATATGATTGCAAAGTAATTTCTCAGCGATTTTTATTAGAATTTAACAAAATGAGCCAGAAGCATCCCTGAAAGAAAAAAATTTGTTAGCAAAGTTTTAGAAAAGAGTGTTGAGTAGGGATTGTACTACTGATATTTGAAGTGTGTGGCTATATGGGTATCGTTTATATAGTATTAGGACAAAAATAGAATAAATTGAAAAAAAAAGAATCCAGAAATAAATTCAAGTATACAGAGTACTTGTTACATTGAAGGGCAGAATTTTTAAATCAGTGGATACTTAAACAGTCAACTTGCTGTGGAAGAGGAGAAGATAAAAAGACTGGTTGGTCCTAAGCCAAATTAGGTGGCTCAAAGATAGTGATACAGAAACTAAAATTGTATATATACTAGAGAAATATGGGGCAATATAATTTTGGACTGAAAAGTCCTTTCTAAGCATGTCTAAAGAGAAAATATATCAGAAAACATAAATCAACTTTTTGTTTACCTCAAAATTTAAAATCTCTCGTGAGAGAAAAATACACAATTACTACAGTCAGGTAGACCATGACTAAGAAACTGAGAGAAATATCATCTCTAAAATACATGAATTGACACTATACATAATAAGAAAAAACTGAGTCAAGGAAGAATAACACACAAAGGAAAAGTGGTTGATAAATATGAAGAGAAGGTTGTCACTGATCCATATAGAAATTTAAATGCAATAAAATCTTATATTTTAGATGTGGGGCTGATAAATCTTTTCAAAGCAAAAATCCA